AGAAAGAAAGAAAGAAAGAAAGAAAGAAAGAAAGAAAGAAAGAAAGAGAAAAAAACCCTGACCACTGATTTGAAAAGCCTTTAGTTTATTTAAAATGTCTCTGTTTATAATTTCTCACTAAACACAGTACAGAAATGTAGTGAGAATTTTGGTTTCTTTAAAACCTCAGTTATGTTGTGAATATGTTTTTGTTCTAATCCCAGGTATGGGATATGATGCTGCTTCAGATTGTTCACAGTTGCTAACTATGATTTGTCTCATGCTCTAGGAGGGGTGTGTTTTTTTCCAGCTGAGGATAGTTTACGTTTGGAATTCTGGGACCTCTCATAAATGCCAGAGCCATGAGAGGGGCTGGAGGCCATTCAAAGAAGGGGGCTGCTTCTCCCCCTGCAGCCTCTGCCTGCTGCTGCCTCTGCCTGCTGCTGATTTCACTATTGCTAATGCTGATTGCTGGATTACTGGTTGCTAGTTGGAGATAGTCTGAGACTGAAGATTGGTCTTGCCCCAAGGAACTTGATGCCAACGTATGGAGTATTTGGAAATGGAAAACTAGAGTGTATAGAACCTTCAAAGATCTGCCCATAAAAGCCTAGCTCATTGGCTATGTTCCACCTCCATAAGCTGGGGACCCAGTGCACAAAACATGAACCCAAGGACATTTCACAAGTCTACAAATATTTTTTAATTTTTACATAAGGTAGTTAATATTTATTATATTTTTAAATTTTATTTTGGGTGTGCATGAGTCATGGCTTGCTCTTTTGATAGAAAATCTATAATCTATAATCTAACCCTGTGAATGAATTGCAAGAGGAGTTGGTCATTTCTTCCATCATGTGGGTCCTGGGAATTGAACTCAAGGCGTTAGAGTTAATGGCAGGCACCTCTACCCACTCTGCTAGCTCTTAACTATGGAGGCTGGAAAGTTCAGTAACAAAGGTCCAGTATCTCTGTCCAGGGCCTTCTTACTGCCTCATCAGATGACAGACAGTGAAAAGGCAAGAGAATACAAGAAAGAGTCTAACACATCCTTTCATGAGAACATTGCTTCCGTCCATGAGGACAGAGTCTTCCTAGTGTAACAACATCTAACAACCTCACACCTTAATACTGTACAAGTGGGAACTGAATTTCAGTGTCAGTTTTGGATAGGACAGACATTAAAACCATAGTGCCTCTTTCTTTTCCATTTTTGATAGAAAAAATATAGTGATAATAACAAAATACAAAAACAATGCACCATGACTATGGCCTTATTGTTGAAGGGCCCAGCACACATAG